TGCTTGTCCAACTTTGAGTGCACATCGCCGCCAAGATGAAAGTCTGCTGCTGCATGTGCATAGGAAGCACTTAAGTGGTGAGAATAGAGGTAGCATCAAGTAGCAGCACATAATAGCCTTAGGAAGAAAACGTCGGGTAGGATCTTCATTTAGCGACACTTCCTGGAACCTCGAGGTGCTCGAGCTGATGCTTTCCCAGGGCTGCTCACTACTTCATAACTTCACCCTCTCCATCGACCAGATCCTGGGCGTGCCCTACTGTGAGGGGCAGCCAACCTTATTCCAACCCTTGGCCACCATCTGCCCTCAAAGCTGCGGTTGCACGGCCACGCCAACGCCCAGTCACTGTCCCAGTCGCTGCGCGAGCCGCTAGCGGAGCCGGATCCCAACGAACGGATCCGCACCAGTCACGCACCGGCCAAGTCGGGGGCGAAAGGAAGTTCCGGAGAGATGCTCTTGAGAAAGCATTCAAATCACGAAAGGTAGCTTGAGCTACCTGAGTTCTCCTTGCTTTAGCAAGAATGTATTACAATCAGGAGTTGGGATTGTGCATTGAGTTTGGTCCTGTAAGAGTTGATTCTGTTCGTCGGGGGCCCCCCCCCGGATCAAATCCCCCCTGCGCCGGTTCACGCTGTCATGGACTTCTACCAGGATTACTTGTGATTGCCTGCTACCTTTCGTTCACCCCCTCCTCTCTCAAGTGCTATGAATCAATTTCCGTGATGTCTCGCCTCACTGTTGATAAGTGCACTTGCCTCCCTGAGAATCAGAACGAACCACAAGGCCAGAAAAGACAGATAGCAATTACCCAGAAAGTCCAGGTTTCACCGAATTTGGGAATGACTGGACCAAAAGATGTTGGAAGATCCATCAACCACTGGGACTGATCCTGGCCTTTCAACCCTACATGCCATGACCCATGACCCACTGTGATTTCTGTCCATTTCGTGACGACGCGTGATCCACTTGCAGGAGGGTGACTTGCCTCTCCATGAGGCCGCCAGACAGGGGCAACTCACCACCACCCAAGAGCTCTTGAGGCGAACGAGCGGCGCTGGGCGGAGCGCATGCGCGTTGGTTTGTGAGGGGAAGCTGGATCAGCGACTGATGGTGGTTTCACATGGTTTCACCATACTGGAACTCCAGGAAAATGCCAGAGGAGGGGAAGGTATGTTTCGCCAAAGGCTTCGTGCTCAAATCACCAAGCTCAGAGATTCCACACGACGGCCGGCTCGTGGTGGGGCCCCCTAAACGGGCCCCCTAAACGGGCGGTGAGACGGTCGTAGCTGGACGGCATCAGACAGGGGGCATGGGCATCCCAGTGAAACCTGAAAGCTTTGGAGTTGTGGAGCTGGGAATGGTTCGCCCATGATCATGGTTCGCCCATCTGGATGGAAGCAAAATGGAGCTGTGGAGTTCACCCCGTGTTTGTAGCCATGCCCATCCACGTAACCAAAAAGAGTTCCAGGGAGTGCTGGTATCATCTCAGAGTCCCATCCGTTGACCGCCATACCCGAATCCCCGTCACTTTAGAAGGAATCTGCCCAGGGCTTGGAGGTTCAAGGGTCAAAAAAATCTTTCTTTGACTGAGACGTAACTTTGGATGACCCTTCTGATAAGAAGGACGTTTCTGGGACCGGAACCCATTCATGGAGGCCATTCTCATCGCTTGGAACCGAGCATTCCTTGGGAATTCAAGTCGTCGAAAGCGCGGTGAGGGCGCGATCTCCGGTGGATGCCACGAACGTGTCGGGGAAGACACCGCTGCATGTGGCCTGTGCCTGGGGGCAAGAGCCCGTGGTGGAGGCGGATGGGTAGAGTCATGTGGTGTTCCAGCCATCCAAGGATGTACGGTGCTCCTGAAGACACCAAGTATGGTTTCAGGTTTCGAGAACAGAACACCGTGTCCCTGCAGATCTTATGCCCAACTTTGGATATTCATGGATATTCACTCACCACAGTCCACGGTGTATACCAAATATACGACAACAACAATTATGAGAGGACTCTTGATCGCTCAGTGTTGGGTACGTGGCAGACGTCCTCATCAAACTGAAACTCAGAGGAGGGGCCTCTGAATTTGATCACAATTGTTTCTCTACAGAGGAGTTCTGCACAGCTTTCATAATGATTGTTTGAGAGAGCATGGAGAGGCCCTCTGTGGGTGTCGCAAAAAACGGGTGCACCAGCAGCTTTGAGTTGGCAGACAGGAAAAGCTTCACCCTTGCTGAACTGGGTTTCGGCTAGCGTGGCTGCAGTGGAAGGAACAGGGCTTTTGGGGATGCCTCTTTTCAAACAGTGGAACACCTTTTCCCTGCCCTGACCTTTGTTTCACAGCTATGTGGCTATGTGCCACTAAAAGAAAGCAAATCGATTGGAAGGGGGCGGCCCAGAAGAGAATTGGATGATGCCAACGGAGCGCCACGCTTGTCATCCGCGCCATTGGTGGATGTCATCCGACGTTCGGATGTCATGCGTAGCCAGGACATGTGAATAACTGACTTCCTATCCGGGATTTGGTGAAACCCACTAAAACGTCAACAGGTTGAACAAGATTAACGTTTATTCTCCAGGGACACTTATGGAGTCAGTGTGCCAGGGATTAACCGGAACAATCGCAGAATGGACACAGGGCAATAATTGTACTTATATAAATATGCATGCTGTGCCTAAGGTATGTAAAAAAATATATGGTATATATGGGGTATACAAGAGGGTCAAATTAAGGGCCCATATCAATGGTCCATGGTTTTCTTCTTTGACTTTGGGTTCTTCTACCCAAACCCTGGTGAAGGCCGGGATAACAGCCGCTCCCCAGCAGGTCTTGTTGCAGTACTCTGCCTCCATCCATGCCGCGGACCAGTGCGGGGGCCTCAAGGGGCACTCGCCAGGTCGTGTCAGACAAAGCCCCGGCAGCCTAGCCTTGGACTGGACATGGAAAACTCTCTGTTGGCAGAACAGAATCTTCCCAGGGGTTGAACTTCAGGTTTGTGGGTTGGAGTGTACCCTTTGACTCACTAACATTGGAAGTGGAAAACCATTTGTTCGTAGTGAAACATTGTCTTTCCAGTAGCCATTTTCCACTTTCTTGGGTTGGAGTGTACCTGCTACCCTGGTCGTGCGCAGTGTGGGAATGACGAGACGCGGGTCTTAGGTCTCATGGTTTCCCCGTCCTATCAAATCACCAAGGTGAGTTCAAAAGCCAGCACGTGCCTGACCTGGGAGGCTTCCTCAACTAGTCATGGACTCACAGGGAACTCAAACTTGCAGACTTCCTCAAAGGATGTCTGAACTGCCAAGGCTCTAGAAACCAACAAAATGATTCAAGTCTATGATCCACCTCCACCTCTAGAAACCAACAACATGATCTCTGATCCACTTTCCGGAGGATAACTGGAGAGAGGCGCGAGGGGACAATGAATCGGACAGACGTTTCTGTAAGTCGTCACTTAGCGACTCCCAGACTTCACGCTGCCAGGTGGAAACACTCCTTTGCACGAGGCGTGTCCGAGCCATTTCGGGTTCAGATGTGTTTGTTTTATGTTGTTTTGTTACAGGCAGTCTCCAAAAGAAAGGTGTCGGTTGGCTGGATGAGGAGGGTCTCTGTGATAAGATTCTAGAGCCTAGAGTTTTCAACCAGCGGTGTGCTGAGCAAGGGTTGCAGACATCTCATGCTCCCGAAGAGAAGGGTCTGGGAAAACCACACCATCCTCTACAAGTGAGCATTTCAGCGCATGGTCGTTGGTGTGTTGCTAATTTGTTTATCTCATTGGGTATATATACAGTAAGTTTATAGAATAGGAAGTTGATTGGTTGGTTGGAAGCAGTATTCACTTGGTTTCTAGACAATGGCTCCTACGCCGTACGAAAATGCCAACTTCTCTGGTTGCATGCTGGTCAGACAGAGGGTAATGAGGTATCTTGACGACCTGAAACCTTATCCGCTGGTGGTACAATCATGGGAAACATGGAAGATCCACAAAAAGGGATCAGGTGCCTTTGGAAGATGAAGGTGTCACGGGCGTTCCTGCCTCCTCAAGCCACCCATGAAACAAAGGTGTCGGATGGCTACTCTTGCGACCATGCGCTTGTGGCTGTACACTATACAAACACATGGTTCAAAAGTCTTGAGTTGGTGAAAAGACATCAAGAAGGAGCCTGCTTGTCCACTGACAACAAGCAAGGAACATCCCAGCAAGGATATTCTAAGGTATGGCAAGAGATAGCACAGATAATGTTTTGTTAGTTTTGTTGAAGTCTTACTCCTCCAAGAAAAGCACCGCCAGCTTTGACACACACACACACACAGAGCACAGTCATCATCATCATCATCGTCATCGTCATCGTCATCGTCATCGTCATCGTCATCGTCATCG